AAAATATAGTGAATGCACAGAAATGAAAGATTTGCACATGCCGGAAATGATAAATAGGAAATATGTATGGGTATTTATACATGTGCTTGCAAAAAGCATGTATCTGCCTTTGACAAAATACTTAAATATTCATTAAATTATTTATAAATGTATTTGAAATGAAGAATTTATTCACTTATAAACAACTGTGAAAGTACTGTGAAGAAATCTAATGATTAAATGTATCTAATTTATAATGACTATAAATGTTATCTAAATATATAATAACCTTAATATTGAATTGTAAACATAAATTGAAATCCTGTTGACAAATACGTTATAAAACTATTTAAGTAAGAATTGTTCGTATTGTAAAGCAAATGCTATAAGATGCGCACTTAAGAACGTAATAAAGAGTTTTGGAATATGTATTGTTGAAATGAAGGGTAAAAAAAAAAAAATCTGATAAGTATAATTAAAAGAATTATTCCCTTTACATTTTATAATAACTCAGTTACAAGTTTTAAATAATACTTAAAAAAAAAAAAAAAAAAAAAAAAAAAAAACTTATTTTATTCCCTTTCAGAAATGTTCAGAGAAAGTCAAATACTATTTAATACATATTTAATTATTAGGAATTAGCGAAATACTTATTTAAAGTATTTCGCTAATTCCTAATAATTCTCTAATTTAAAATGAACCGAATAGAGCATTAATTATAAATTGACTTACATTTTTCGATTTAAAAGAAGCCAAAAAATCATGTCATATTTAAGAAAGTATTTTAGGAAGAAGCTCTATAAATAGAAAAGAAATAATGCATAATTTTAATATTAATAATACAATAAACTTTGATCTTAATTTTTGTACCTTAACCGAATAAAATCGAATTACCTTAATTTTTTTTTCTAATGTAATTAACGAAAACTTGTGAAAATATTTCATTCAAATTAAACCATTCTGAGAAAACTGTCCTATGAAAAGTATAGCATTTAATTCCGTTCAGAATGAAATGTTGTTTAAAAATATGTTGTTTTCACATACTTAGGACTCTGAAGTGTTGTAGGAAAAGAAAATATATACATTTATATGTATATTTGCGACGTAATTACAAAATATTTACACCCGAACGCGTCAAATCCCATAGAACTCAATGGTAAATGACCCAATGTTTTGGTCACCACGTAGGGATCGCCGGTGCTTCAGAGCAGGGTACGGAGAAACTTGTTTAGGGCGACTCCTTCTTACTTCCTGCCTCCATGGTGCATGAGCGGGGAAAAAGTAACATCGTTCCTACTTTCAAATAATTTCAGCAAAGTGTCTAAATCACATTTGAAGTTTTATCGCTTTCAACAAATATGCCAAATTTCAAAACGCCCCAATGTGTTAATCCAGTCTTCGGAAATTTTGAATAAAAAACTCTAATTTTTTGTAGGTATGCTTAGAAATCCGTCTAATTTAAGATGATGGTAAAAATTTTATAGATTATAATTAAAAATATTTATGAAAGTTTATAAAAATTATTTTAGAATACTAGAATACAAATTTTAAAAATAAATCATGAAAAATGGGCGAATTTTATTTGGAATGGACCTGAATTTCAAAATGTGAAAGGAAGGATCAAATAAGTTTAATATAAAAAAGAGAGATTAATAAATATATACCAAACTCAACATTGAGGAGCTAAAATTTGGAGAGGTAATTTTTTAAAAACTACTGGTACGATTTTTTAAAACTTGGTAGTTTTAAAACTTGGCATAATTTGAGTCGTAGAATGGAAATATGGAAAAAAATGGTATGTTATTTTAGAAAAAGTCATACTTTGTGTCGAAATACCTATATTAGAACAATGCTATATATAAATCTGATAATATCCTATGTCACGCTTTCTGAAACATGGAACACGCAAGTTGAATTTCGTCAATCGGCCCAGTAGAACGAGAAATATAATTTTTTTTTGGGAGGGGGGTGTGAGCAGTGTACATGTAATAAAGGGTTAAAGGCTAATGGAATCTTTGTTAGAAAATACAAAGGACGTCATTCGAAATCTTCACACCTATTTTCTGCTTTAATGGACGGGGAGGGGAGGAATTCGCTGTGAAACTGGAAAAGTATTTCGGGCGGTTCGGTATTTTGAGGATACAGGTTAGCGAAGGGTTTGGATGTCAAAGAGTTAAATGGCCGTTTCATGCAAAGCATCATTCTACATTCTCTAATATTGTAGTAAACAGAACAGAAATAGTTTCATAAAATAGTAATGTTTTTATTATGTAATAAGCATAGAAATAAAGTAGCGAATTTGGGAATCTGAGATTTATTTTCATTACTTGAAATTTTTAAAATGCGTTAATTTAAATATCAATAAAATTTTAATAGTCATTTAAATATGTTACATTTTTTAAAATAAAATATGTTAAAGGTGTCTCTCAACACAAAATAATTGTTCAATTTTCATCTGGCCAGAAAGGAGAAAATGTGTAAATTCCACAGCACATTTTCTGTGTTTCTTATAAATTTAATTTCTGGCACTTCGCAGCATGCTCCACAAATATTTTCAACGTTTCCGTGTTTGTGAGCTAAGTTTTTGAGTAAGTCTTATATAAGGTCACCTACCTAAGATTGATAGAAAATGTGTTTAGCGGCAATAAATTAATTATTTAATAGAATATTTTCTAGAATATAGAAGGTGCTTTAAAGTATGCCTCCTAAATGCCATATAAGAGTAAAAACCAAGTCTCAGAACTTAAGAATTAAAATGTTGAGAAAGTTATATTACGAATTTAAAAGTTTATACTGCAGGAAAACGCCTTACAGATGTCAAAGTATTATAAAACTACTCAGTTATTAAACAATCAATAAATTATATCCGAGATTTATCAGATTTAAGCACTAAAAGTGCTCCATCGTGCTCTGGAGCCTAGAATTTTATTACGAACTTCAAAATGCATTTATTTTTTCCATTATTTAACACGTTTAACGTATTTCGAATTCTTTTAATGATCTATCGAAATATCAGCGCCTTCATGCTTCAACAAAGTTTTTGGTATGTTGTACATGGCAATGAGTATAACTTTGGATTTCCTTAAATTATAGACCCACCACAATGCTTGAATGGCTAACGACTACTTAAAACTGGTATTTCGTTTTGGATTCGAGTTCAGGCGACTGGCTGCATGGTTGGATTTTGTGGTTTAATCCTGTGTAACGTGAATACGAGCTAGTTTTCTTTAGGATGGCTTCTCGAAGGCATCTCTCTCAAATAAACAAATTTTGCATCATTCTTTTTATACGTAAAATTAATGTAAAGAACCAGGGAATTATGCTAGTAAATTAGTAAATACGGGTTACCTTTACAACAATCTGAGGAAATGAAGCTGTTTATTAATAATTCTAAATCTTTCCTTGACAGCCTGGCTCATAATTTATTGTACCTTTATTCTGATATTTGTTATTTTAAACTAGCTCTAAATCATTAATGCTTTGTTTTCATTCCTTACAATATTTAATTTCTCAAACTTTTATAATATATAATAGTTTCTTGTTATTAGTTATACGAGTACAATTTTTTCTTTTCTTTTTTTACATGTAGGTTCAAATAAATTTTGATTTTTGTCAAAGTGCATCTCTGATTCAGTCACAATGAGGTAAGTTTATCTGCTGTTAAATCTTAATTATCTTTTTTTCCTCTAATTCAATTTTTCTTTACAATTTTCAATGTTTAATCATGTATTTGTTTGAATTAAGATATTATTTTAGTTGAAAAATGCAGTGTGATTTAATTTTGGGTTTATAGTAATACTCACATGAGCTTCGTACATGTTTAATCCCAGAAAAGTTCTGCCTTCTAAAAACTTTGTCCCAATAATATAATTTTGGCATACAAATATTCAGTTAGAAGTCAGCCTTCCTTTTTCTGAAAAATTCTGCATTCATTGTGCGTTCTGTCACAAAATGTATTCTGCACTTTCCTGCATTACTTGCATGCGTTATATCGAAAGAATTTGTGAAGAACTATCTATAGGAGATCATCGATTTGTGGTGATTATAAGCAAAAATATGCAGTAATGCTATAAATGAGCCGCACAGTTTCGTTTCTTGCAAGAAGTTTATTATAGTTGATCGTTTTACGTCACTCGTTCAAATTCAAGCAAGTCATCTTTTATTTCTAACGGAAGTGGGGAAAAAAACATTTAAGCAGAAATGCGAATTTGAAATCACTTTTTGATACTTTCTTAAAATGTTATTAATATTTTAAATTAAGTTTTAAATATTATTTTCTAATCACATAGCAAGCAAACATCCAGTTTGAGTTTATTTTCATGGTCTGGCCAATGTCCTTTTAAACAGCATGCTGTTCCAATACTAAAAACGACCTGCAGCAAAATTATTAAAGATAACTTTGTTTCAGAAATGCTTCTACAATTAACTTATTAGGTAGAAGTAACTGTGAAATATTGTTTTCGGTTACGAGGGTTATGCAAAAGTTGTTTAGCTTAAGATTTTGATGCTGATAAAAATATTAGCATAGCTTTCCAATCTATGAGGCTTCTAGTTTATATTTTAATTCAGAGAATTCCATTTCTGAAAGAATTTATGATATTCACTGAAGGGCAATAAAAATGAAAATTAATTAAAAAGTCGGATTATGATTACTGCTGTAAGAAAAAAAATTAGCAAGAAATCTCTTCTAATATTTTGCTAGCTTTTAAACAATAAGACAGAAGTTCATGAAACAAGATGTAGTTTTCATTTACATTATATTCACAAATATTTTATAAGAGGTAAAAGCATTTATGATTTAATTTTAGACTTAAAATAGTTTATTCAGTATAAGTCCGTAAATTATTGGTTAGAACTGGAAGTAATTATTAGTATTTTTATGCCAAATTTTTTCTGAAGAATAATAGATAAGGATTTAGTATTCTATGAGGTATTTTAGTTTTGTACTGTTATTAGATATATGCTGATTTTGATTTTAAAAATGACTTTTATAACATTATATACTTTTCTTTACTAGTCTCGAGGAAGATTTACTTAAAGAATTAGATGACTGGAACCCAATGGCGGATGCTTATAACTCAGAATCTTTTAATTCGTATGATGATAGTTACAGGTACGTTTTTTTTTTTTTTTTTCATCCAAAATGTTAAACTCATAACTTTTTGATGGATAGTTGTTCTGATAAATAATTTTTTATAAATTTTGAGAATTTTTTTATGTAAAATTAAAAATTCTATTCATTATTTCATCAAACAAAGTAACTGTACATTTCCCTCCGATTTGGATGTATAATCCTGAACTTTACCTGATGTGGGCTAGAGAAGGTGACGCGTTACCGAAATGTCGAGTTTATAGAAAGAAAGATGCGTTCTTCATAAATTTAATGCTTCATTCAGCATCCAAATCCATGGCAATTTTATTAATGCTCTTTGTCCAGTCTCTTAAGGCATCCAAGTTGTAATCCAAGTCCATTAAAAGTTGCAAATGCATATCTGAATGATAATTTGTGAGTGCAAGAAGGAATGAGGAGCATTTAGCCCAGAGGAACTATTAATTTCGTTCTGGCATTTTGCGTTGAAAATATTAAATGCCCGTTTCACTTTTCAAATTGTTGACACCAAATATTATCGTCCTGTGTCATATTTAAAGAAAGTAAACAATGAAGAATCTGCATAAATGCATGTATGTGTTCTCGCATTGTGATAAAACGACGGTAACTAGACCATCGACGGCCATGAAATTTTGAATAACGTACGTCTCCACCGCGCGAATTTCGAATTTATTTTACTATCTTTTCAATATTTTGTAAAGCATCTATGAGTTTTTTATTAAGAAATTCAAAGACAGAATTAGCAATACTGAAATTATATTCTTAAAATACAATAACAATTTTTCATTGTTTTGAAACTGTCTTCTTAACAGAATTTCCTATATCAATAGTTCCCCCTTTTTATTTTTTATATTGCTAATTAATGATTTGATTTCTATTATTACACGCAGTTAAAATTAGGTGTAACCCCCTGTATTTGAAGCATAAATATATATTTATCATTTGGACGAATTTTATATTGAAAAAAGTAGAACTGTAGAAGATTCTTAGTCAGTATCTTGATCTGTGCGTAGATTAGATTTTTTTCTTATTCATTTATTTATTTTTATTTTTATTTTTTAGTTTACCTCCCGAGTATGATGCACGTTGCTTACATGTGCATAATATTCCAGCTGAGTTCACCAGAGTGAGTATTGTGATTTCTACATTGTATTTATTTACTGGTCTGTTTCTAATTTCCAATGTATACTTTATTGCATGATTTGGTTCTTTTGAAATTATCTTTATTAAATCTCTGAGTAAATTAATTTTTTCTGCTTTTTATAAATTATCCTTTTAGATCGGTTTAGTTTTTGCTCTCTAATAATCGTTCTTTTCTGGGAGGTGGTATTTCATGATGTTTTGAAAAGTTCGCACAAATTTTATATTATTCAAATCTTTGCTTTCATGTAATTTGTCCATTTGTCATTTAATATTTTATTAAAATGAGCAAAGGGAGCAATAGTTTTGATCCTATTGCCATTTACTTTTTTAATTAATTTTAAATTCTCCAGGAAATGGAAAATTTGTGGGCTCTATTAGGCAACTAAATTTTTCTGAAACAATATTTTAATGCATATAGTTGTGATATCCCTCTCTTCATCCACCGCCTCATAGAGAAATAACTCCATTCTTTTGTATTTTTAAACATTTATTTCACAAACACAAACTAATGCTAAACTACAATACTAATAACTGAAATATATAAAGTAATAAAAGTGAATTTCGGTTTCATTCATGGCTCCCACGAGCCTTCCCTATGACCTCTCTGTCGGTCTCCCTCTTGGAAAACTAAAGTTTTGGATCCTTCAGATTAAGAGCCAGTGCCCTCTATACATCTTGTTGGTTGGCATCACTCATACATCAGAATAGTATCTTTAAAATTTTATTTAAAATAATTCAAATTTTATGTATTAATCAAATCAGAATGTGTATTACGCCTGGATTATAAAGAATTGTATAGAATGGATCTCTCAGATGATAATGGCTACAATAGTTGAATCCATTATATTGAATTATAATTCCAGTAGTTTAATGAGTATTCAGTTTACCGTATTTAAAATATTTTCGTGTTACAGAGGAAGAGGGAAACGCTAAGGTGAGCATATTTCAAAGGCGTTGCCTTAAGACAAGGCGATGTAGGCGGCGCATGCCCATAAATTGAAAATTTGATGAGGAATCATTATTTTTTACTCGTTCTTATAGGAAAGTCCTATTAATTATTCTAAGTATACAGCTTTGCATTGTATCATCGATTTTATTAAAAATCAGAAATTTAAAACACAATCAATTACGCCCTGTCGTGGCGATTTTTCTGATTCTGCACGATGTCTAAATATCAGCATCGTTCACGAAATAAAACGTTTTCCAAGATCTAAAGGGAAAACATTTTCTCTCTCGTCTTCCCACAAAAACTCCCGCAGTCCCTCTTTGCACGCAATGAACTTACCGCATCAGATGAAAGAGTTCGTTTTTAATTAAATTCTGCGCAATTTGTTATTGTTTTTTTAGGTGCGTTATTTATTATTAATCAAAAGCGGATTTTCTGCTTCGAAGTGTATATTGTAGCATATATTTCACTTTATTGTTTATATAAAGCTGGCTTATTTTATTCTTATTTCTGATGTTTTTAAAATTACCGTACGATAACGGCCTTTTTTTTTTAAAGGAATTTAAAGCGTGACCGAACTTGAAACAGAGGGATTTTTGAAGGGTCTAATTCAATCGATGTTTAGATTCTGATCATCCTCTGAAAAATAAAATTACTTAAAAATGCTGAGATTTACCGCGCACATGCAGTAACTTATAAGGTAAACATAAGAAATGAAGCCCTGGCATTTTCCTAACACAAGTTTAGAGATTTTTACATCCGAGAGGAAAACAATAGATATTCAGCAATCTAAGTAAATGGAAATATATATAAAACTCTATAAAAATGCAATATGAAGGCAATAAAACATCGATTTATAAATTATATATATATCTTCATTAGAAGCCTTGATCAGACTGCTAATTCTATAAACAGATAAAAATGACATAAAATTATTAAATTTAAATAAGATTAGAAAAGCGTAGGCACAATTTAGCAGGAATATTTCTTATTGCTTACAATGGTTTTATAAATTGAAGTTACGAAATCATGTGAATGTCATGTAAACAACATAGATTTCTTTTTCGTATTTTTGAATCAAAACGCATAATCACAAGTCACGAAAAAATACCAAACTTTTTCCATTTGCCCTAAAAAGACGTGCAAAAGGTTTGATTCTATTATTAATAATTAAATTATTTTATGAACTTACTGAAACCCAGAGGAATATTCATCTTCTAATTCCAGTTTTCTCGAAATTTTATTAAATATATTTAATATTAGTGCTATGAATTATTTGAACTCAATGTGTTTTATTTTGCCCTTGCAATAAAAAATAAAAGTATTCGTAAATTTCTAACTAGCGGTATTCGTATTCGTATTTAGCGGTATGCTAAATAAACATAAAAAATTGAGTCGCTAATTTTGCAATATCAGCATTAACTACATCAGTATTCAGCTTTTATCTGCCGTTAAGATAAAATAATAATTGATTAAAATATTTCATTTAATGATCATACCTACAAATATATATATATATTAAATTTTGACTTAAATTTAGTATATATGCATTTCATTATTTTACATATTACACGATATTTGACAGGACAGAACAGGAAAAAGTGCAGGGGGCACCACGACATCGTCATAGACAAAAATGGTATTGCCCCACTGCACTAACGATATTTGACAACATATTAACACGTAAATACTGCAGCCAACTTTCGAAAGTGTGTAATTCAAACTTCCATTCACTAATGCATTTTTTTAGCCAAAGGCCAATAGCCCCGAAGGGCTATTCATTTCATTTTGGCATTTTTGGTTGATTAGCCCAAAGGGCATCAGCCCAGAAGGACTATTAATTTCGTTTTGGCATTTTGCGCTGATTCACTATATACGGCCAATCACTTTTGTTGCTACCAAGTATTAGAGCCCTGTTTTATATTTAAAGAAATTTAATAATGGAGAATCTGCATAAATGTATGCATGTTTCTTGCATTGTGAGAAAACATCGGTACTTAGAGCAATCAAATTTTGAATAAGGTGCGTCTCAACCCAAATATCAGCTTGGAATTCGTTTTATTACTATTCATATTTTTTAAAGCATTTATGAGTTTTTGATTAAGAAACTAAACGATTTCAAAGCGAGCAATGGCAACACTGTACGAAAAAAAGAAACATTTTTATCTCCAGCGCGCGAACCTGTCTATCGGAAATTCTAAAGATATGCTCTTTTAAATATTTAGCTATATTGCTGTTGAATTGAATTTTGTGGTTAAGTGATATTTAATAATAATAAATAAAGGTAACACACAAGCCATTAAAAAATGCCCCTTTGGGAGTGATGTAAAATTCTGAAAGCTTGCCGAATTTTTTTTTTTTTTTTTTTTTTTTTTTTTTCAGAGCTTGTCCTTTATAAAAATTCAAGATAGGATTGAGATATTAACATGAAGTTTTAATTATTAAAATTCCTTTTCTGAAGTTCGTAATAGGATTGACATCTATTCAGTGACTTCAAGTTCATTTAAATTCTTTCGGAAAAAAAAAATATGTATAAATATTTTACTGTAATACTTTATGTCATATAACTGTCAATTTTTAATTTATTCGAATTGTTCTTTCTATAGGAAGATTTTGCGAAAATTATGATGCAGGGTGGAATAAAGATCGAAAAAGTGTACTTACATGCTCCAAAAGAAGGTCAGCAATTTGTGTACGGGTAAGTATTTTGAAATCTTGAGGTTTTTTATTTGATTTTGTAACGAATTAGTGTTAATTTTTGCTATTAAGTATATTACTATAATAATATGAACGAATGAAGGAAAGCCGTTTTTGGTTACTTTAATTTACCAAATGAAATCAAACAAAAATTTCAGAGTTCCATCCAAATTATTTCTAAGTTGCGTTTTCTAAGTTTTCAGAGAATCAAGCTGAATAAAAGAATAAGTATTTAAGTTTTTTTGTGTGCGGTAATTAGATTGTCAAATTTTTACACATTTATAAAACAAAATTTCATTTAATGCTGTTAAGAAATTTTTTTAATAAATTTAAATGTTTTTAAGAAGTTTATTTACTTCACTTCGTCACTTTAAATATGCAGATAAAATACGTATGAAAGCTTAGAAAGACAGAACAATTAAAAATATATGAATAATTTCCTAATGCAAATACTTCGCTATTAAATTACACAGTGAAATATTATCTATCAAACATGTTAATCAACGTTTAGGACCAATGCACCTAATTTTATTTGTTACGCTTCCAGTATCCTGTTGAAAGCTGTTTATATATAAACTTTAAAAAAATCTCCAAAAAGTCTTCCTTAAAGAGTTGAATATTAATTAATTTTAGATTTCATTCCCTTTAATTTGATGTACGCATATGAAGGATACAAATATTTAAAAATGAATTTTTTTTAACTACACGTATGCGCACTAAACTCATGTTGTATTCAAAACATTCTACACATTAAAAAATCATTATTAAAAAATAATTGTTTCACAGTTTGAATTGAATGTAAACTGATAATAATGGTATTTTTTTTTTTTTTTTACTTGAGGAACCTGTAATTTTATATTTTTTTATAATTTACTTGCTTTTAAATTTATTAATTTTATGTATCTTATGCTTTATTAGGTTTGTGGTATATGCAACGCATATGGATGCCCAAAGGATTAAGAATAGTTTGAATGGAAAAGCTCCATTTAACTTCAAAATTAAGTATGCAAGAAAGAAGAAAAATGTAAGTTTGATTATTTTAATTGTTAATAACTTTGCAAAATAAGTTCTTACATTGTTGTTTTTTTAGAACATAGATTTAAAAAAAATAATTTCAATTTTTTAATCATTTTTTTAATCATATTATTAAGAAACATTTTTCTTCCTGTAAGTATCCCGTTATAAGTGGTAAATATTGAAGCATTTTCAAAAGATATATGTCTAAGACAGAGATTCATAAACATTATCTTCCAGAGACCCCTCTTAAAACAATACTTTTCTTCATCGATTCACAACATTTTTCTGTATAAATATAGAATACAAAATAATCGTAATTGGGTATAAATAATTTAAAGATAACAATCAGACTGAATGTGAACAAAAGTTTTGAAAGAATAGTTTATAAGATTCTTTCAAAATAGGTTCTTTAAATTTTCTAAATTTTACATATTATTTATTAAATTCTTTAATTCGATAAAATAATATCAGACCAAAAGTCTGATTCTAATTTAAAGTCAGATTTTTGATGCGCATTGATGCGGTATTTGTAAATATTTATCATAAAATTATCTAATTCTTAAATCATCTCATTCAGAGGTATTCAACCCGTTTCATGTTTTTTCTGGTAAATCATTAATTTCATTAAAGCCTGCTTCCACTGCGTAAGAAGTGGGAAAAGTCATTAATGTTGGTCCGATAGCAGCTTCAATTTCGGTAAAATTCTCTCTGATGACCTTTAAATTATAAAACTTAACGTACCCTTGTATTTTGAATAAGATTTGATTTATGTGTATGATAAACTTTATATCAATAAACAATCGCTTATAGATTTTATTAATACTTTTTTTTTTTTTTTTTTTTTTTTTAAACAGTGAGATGCTGGTTATGGTGAACAATGTCAGGGCTATCGATTCCTCAATCATCATAAATCCCTTTTAAAATTTCCTCGATGCCCATGCGTCTCATACCAACCCCGTTGCGAATCCAGTCTTGGTTGAGACAATATTTGTTTAAAATAATTGATTTTATTTCATGAGGCATTTTTGGCGGAAAAATACTTAAAGCAAAGAGTTGCCATACTAAAAATATTTAGATAGTAAAACACAGATATTATGCTAGATCGTTGACAGAAATGAGAACATAGTTCTGAATTTGCAGACGATATGACTGCTGTTTTATGTTGATTTGAACTCATGTTAATTTCTAAATTTAGTTTAATTTATGTACCTTCTATTATAAAGCATATAGATAAGAAAAGGACATTAATGGCGAATATTTATATTAGATCAATGGAAATATTCCTTTATAATTTTTTCTCGTCCGCTTCCCTTAATGGCCGGACCTTTGCTTCTGAAGCGTGCATCGGTAATGGATGAATCTATTGCCCGTATAATTGTGTCATAATCCTGAACACTGTCCATGGAATAGGTCGAAATTCGCGAGCATATTTCAGAATCTCATCTGTAGTACTAAATACTTCTAGATCATAGTTAGCACTTTAAACACTTGTATAAGAACTAAAACTTCTATTATGACATTCCACAAGAACTGCTTTACATTGGACGAAAATTAACCCCAAGATGTTAATCTATATTTGGTATTTTAATCTTGTTTTTGAAATAAATTATTAGATAACCTAAAAAGGGAAAAATCCTTAAAATGTGTCTGTAAGTGTTTTAATGAATTTGATTTCTGATGGAGGGGAGAGTATATGTTGTCAACTTTCTGATATGCTGAATCAGATTTCAAATTTGATAGGGATTTGTGTTGGGAATAATAAAGTCTGAGCGCGGAAATATACCAAAAGTAAGAGAAACATAATTAAGATAAAATAGCACGCCGAACAAAAGAAGCATACCATTAAAATTTTAATTTCACTAATTCTTTAATTGATAATTTTTTTAATTTCAAAAAGGTAATATAGTTTGCAGTTAGACAACTCTTCTTTATAGAAAACTGGCATATTAGAAGGTAATAATTACAATTTCAGTGCAAATGAGTGACACATTAGGATTAATAATATTGTGATGGGATTACACTTTTTTTTCCTATTTTAATTAGCAGGTGTCTTTGCAGATAAAATTTTAAATTTGGTTGCTTTTCTCATAATTAATTTACTGCACGTTTCTTTGCAGACACGGGATGATAAGGAAGCAAAAATGAAGTCTAAAGTAGAGAAACTGCGTAGTATTTTAACTACATGTAAGAAAAGTACAGACTTTGTTCCAAAAAAAAAGACATATAATACTTTCCCTTCGCATCCCTCAGCGAAATCAGGAGAGCACAAAGATGATTCCAACAAAGATGCAAACAGTAATACTTTGCCAAAGTTTAAGAAAGATTTGGATTTCAGAACAAAGAAAGTGCATAACAGTGTATCTGTGGAATGTGACCAAAACGGCAGAAAAGCGGTTCAAGACAGAATACAGCGAAATAAATTTAATTCAAGTAAAGTTGCTGGTTACCTTTCCCGACCACCAGGTTTGATAGACAATCCGTTTTTTTGGTGTCTCTTCTGTAATACGGCAATTGGTAAGCACTATTAAATATTTTCCTTACTTATTCCTGTGTTATATAAAATTCTATCTTCAGCGTCATCATTCAGTTTTTCAGAAGTGAGTGATTCACTATTTTCAGTAATTTAGTTGAAGAGACCATTTCGAAGTGCCAAAAAAGTTTTATATTTGATAAAAGAAAATAAATGACTTATGCAATTGATAACATTTAGAGCAGAGAAATAAAAGCAATTACACGTCACGTTGTATGTTGATGCAATACTGTCGAATAAATTAATTAGTTAAACAAAAATGTGTATATTTCTTTAATTATAATTAATCTAAAAATAGGCAGAGAGTAATGCCTATTTTTAGATGCATTTTAGAGACATACTTTCCATCTTTCATGCATTAGCCTTAAAATAACTGTATTATGTGTAAAGTAAAGTACATTCGCGTTGTTTCGCGAATTTGCTTATGAGTATTGTTTCTTATATTAATCATGTTTTAACATGATTTAACGTTATTTCATTTGGACTATTTTTATGTACTTGGGTACAAATTTGTCGTTGCAGTTAAAAGTAGAAAACTCAGATGATTTTTTTTTCTAATATTAAATTTTGCTCGGGATTCTAATAATATAAGGAGTAGCTGTTTGATGCTCAGATGTTACTTGCATGCGTGCCAAGGGCAGTTTTTTTTTTTTCGAATTCTTCAATAATGTAATAATTTGACGTGATTCTTTATAAGCCATAAAATCTTACATCTTAGTTTTTATTTTCTACTTTTTTTAAACGAAAAGCTGTAGCGAAACACCCACGTACATTTGGTGAATGTAAAAATACTGCTGTGTATTGTATTTCGTCTGTTTTAATGTGTTGCTTTAAAATAGGCATTTCAAAGTTCTAACGACCATCCATCATTTACCTCGTAACGTATGTCATCCTTACCACACAAATGGAATTAAAGGATTTTGGTAAAATAAATAAATCAGCTTTTATAATACAGCACTTTTTATTATTGTTATGAGATATGTTTTGGAGAAATATAGTCTCTAAGTGCCTAATTTACAATTTAGTGTACACCAGGAAAACTATCCTCCTACATTTATGAAGCTCATTAATTCATTTTCTTTTGTTAGCAGAATACGGCAAAGCACTCAGCTATCTCTTTAACGTATGAATCGAATAATATGGCTAATATATTCTGCACTTTCAGATTATATTCTATTCTATAGATTCTGCACTATATATTTAATTCTTAAACTTCTTAAGTGAGCTGTGTAAATTATATTTAAGAATTACACCTTGAGATTCGGATGCATGACTTTTCTGTTTATAATTCTTTTGTACCAAATAACAAAACTTTTATCAATTTTCTGTCTTTCTCTTTTTATCTATTTACTTTTTTCCTTCTTCTCGTCCCAACACTTTTTTTTTTAATTTGTAAGGAGTGATTAGAAAAAGCGTAGTTTCTTTATAACTAAATTGGCTAAACTGGTTATTTTAAATAACATACTTTCATAATTTGGAACATTATGTGGAATGTCTATTAATTTTACAATGAGATGCCATATTTCATGTTAAAAATTTGATGTTTTAAATCTTGATTTTAAGTATAAGCATATTCAAACGATGAAATTTAAGTAATTTACTCTAGGCCTTTTTTATCTGAATATATGAGTTTTGTTTTAATAGTTTTAAAGCTGAATAAGGTCCACTTTCAAATGCAGTTTATTTCTATGCTTCCCAGCTGATATAAAGGGAAACTGAACAGAAGATTCAATACCAGATATCAGCACATTTTTCAGAATATGTTCCAAGTACTGAAGAAGAGACCGCTTTGCGGAATGGAGATTAGCAGTTTCTATGAAAGTTGATTCGGAGGGAGGGGGAGAAATAAAGAGGGAAAAGAAAAGAAATAAAAATACTGTTAAAATCTTCAGGCCTCCCGTGAAAGATTAAGTGTTAAGACTTTAAAATCTTTGCTGGGATATCATAAATGGAAATCTTTGAAAATCTCAAAAAATACTACATATTAGTTTATTTATAATAAAATAATGTGAAAAGTCATTTCGTTTATACTCAAAACATAGAAAGCATCCTTTTTGGAGCTTATTAAGAATTAAAAAAAATCACTAGAAGAAAATTGAGCAATTGCACATCATTGAATTTATGAAGCCAATATAAGAGACGGCCTGAAATTTTTCTGATACAACTAGATGATACAAGTTAAACTTTTAAGTGTGTTCAAAGTCGTTTTTTCCAACACTGATGAACTTTTGATGACGAGTTTTCGAAAAATTAAATGCTTCAAATGATCAATTTCAGTTCATGAAAAATATGCTTCATCAGTTTCATCTTCGGAATGAAAATGACGATAAATTTTGTCTTAGATTAAAAAGTAGCCAAAGGTTACACATAACAGGATCGGGAGAATACGGTGGATGTTCTATCACTTTGGTATGTTTTTGTTCAAGAAATCTGACTGCCAGTCTTGCGGAAAGATAAGATCTACTATCATAGGGAAACATGAGATCCCTAATATTCACTTGAATTTCTGGAATACACTTAGTAGTGTACCAGTTAGCTGTAATTACCTTCTGTCCCTGTAACTTCATGGCTTTGGTCACTCCTGCACTTTTGGAAAAAAAAGTTCATATATTACTTTTTTCATTGCTCGTTGTCTTTCTCCGTTGAAAGTTAAAGTTTGTCTTCAAACACGCATACATTACATTAAAACATCAAAACATACTTTGTAAGTTTCATCATCAGTTATGATTTTAGAAATAAAGCTCTGTCCACTATCTTCACGTAATTTTAGGATTTATTTATTGACCCTGACATGCTCCGGTTTTTGTTGCTTACTTATGGGAACCTATCGAAAAACTGATTTTTCGTATGCTCCTCATTTTTTCGTAATTTCGTCATTAATAATTTTATCTATAGCTGAGAAAGCAATGTTGAGTTTCTTCTGTACCGTTTGGTAAGGGCAGCGATTATCAATGATTATTATTTTATTATCGCCGAAGTAATTTCTGAAATTATACCTCTCCAAAATCTTCTTGTATGTTGTTCACACAGGAGAGACTTTTGACCTCTACGAAATTTCGTAAATCAGATAAATACCGTGACAGAAGATTTAGCTTCATTACCATGAGCTAATTGTTTACATTGATATCATTTTTCTTGATTTAGCCATACTTTAAAATTATAGAAATTCATAGCTTCATAATGCTTTAGCGTCAGCTCGAGTTTCTTTTCTTTCAAAAGTTATTCTCGGATAAATAAATTCAATTATTGCCCTAATCTGCCAATATAAAAATATTTTAATTTACACATCTAACAAATAATAGATTTTTGAAGCATGTTATCTTCCTCGTCTTATCTTCCTCGTCTTCTTAGAGATTCCTACGTATATGCATTGCCTTAGAAACTGTGCAAGCAATGATAAATCTGCTTCCTACAAATCTCTTTATATATGCAGTCTTAAAAAGTTTGCTCTATCTTATACGTGAATGGCATGTTTCTTCAGATCTTTTACATATCATTTTTATAGTGAAATTCTATCAGCGACTAATATTTACGTAATAACAGGTGATAATGTATATGTTTTTATTATAATTTATATTAATATACAGTTTCAGATAATTTCATAGTTTAATTACTTTTACCTTATGATATTTATCTTTTGTACTTTGTTTCATATTTTGAAATCTATGTTTATTTTGCAGGTAAACTTTCTTGTGCAGTATGCAAAAAGCCTTATTGTTCTCAAATTTGCCAACAGAAGGACTGGAAGAAACATAAATCAACATGCCAGCCTTTGTAAATAATTAATAATTTGTAAACTTTTCTTGTTCAGTATGTAAAAAACTTTATTATTCAGCAGTTTGCTAACAAAAAGATTGTGATTGACAAAAATCGACATGCCAGTATTTGTAAATAACTTTAATATGTAATATTTTAATTTTTCATCCATTAATAAAATTATTTTATTAATATTCTCAGTATTTATATTTGCAATTTGTTAAATGCAGTGTCTGTTTGATTACCGATTTAATATCCGAAGGGTTGAATATCAGTTCAACTTCAGTGGCGTAATTAGTGACTTAAAACTAAATGAATTTAAAATTGTTGTACATGTATTGGATTTTTAACTGGTAAAAAACAAAATACTGTCCGAATTTTTAAAAAAATCACGAAAACATTAAGACATTCTTTAATAAGCGTAAACTGAAAATTTTTCATGTGCAAGTGTGCGTATACGTTTGTAAGGTATAAAAGATTCTCGAAAGACAAATTCATGTAATAAACAAAAAATATATTGTTGCATGCTCACGTGTTCGTAATAGGTTGAATGTTTAGCACACAGAACCCATAAAATACTCGCACAGCTCTTCTCATTATTACAGAATACAATCTGTAGTTATACTTTAAACTACTAAGAATGTTAAACACAAGAAGACATCTAAAAGCCGAAGATTACACTTACATATCTACTCTGTGCTTTCACATCACTCTACAAAGCTTTCCTTTGGCCGCCGAGAAATCTTGAAGACCTTCCATACCTTGAAGTTACTGAAAAGTCGAATATATGAGGTATAAGCTACATGTAATGGTAGAATACGGTTGCAGTAACATATAGCGATCAATCATATTTATTCAATCACAATAGCAATTACAGTTGTACGCAGAACAAATCAAAGGAGATTTTTGGCGATTTCTCGCCAAATTTGGGGTTAAAAATTAGTCACAAAAACCGTCGCCAACTTGGCGATATCTTTTTAATTTAGCCAGATAGACGTTTACTTCAATGTTAAATAGACTTGCCTCTGTAATCTTGTTTTCCCGACAAAGCACCGTCTATTTCAAGCATTTCATGTTACAATATACAAAAAACGCAACAATTTCCCACATAATTTCACTAAAATTTTTTCACATATGTACAAAATCCGTAGATATCCTACTTTTTGCTCACAAATTATTCATGTAGAACTCCATGCAACAAAATAAATCTATTAGGTTCTTACCATTTGCAAAATTATACCAAATTATTTCTTCTAGGTGTATGAAAACTTTTTAAATTAATATAAAAGTAAACATTTTTACGTAAAATATGTTTCAACGTTATTACCCTGCAAGTGGAGTTACGAAAAATGCTAAACATGATATGCACCACTAAGATACACATATGTATTCATACACATCTGTTTAAATTTATAAAATCTTCAGAAACATGCATTTATTGCCCTCAAAAGTTTGTAATATCATCATAAAGAATACTGCCTTCAGATTGAAAAATAACAATCAGAATAAATTCTTTCTCTTTTAAAACTAAAAGTAAGTAATTTAATGCACATTATGAAATCAGGTTTCTTTTGGACTACTGTTTAGTTTAAACTTCAAACATCTGATGTTGGCTATTGCCCGATTTTTCTCTTGTAATTCTAGTGATACGTTAACATATTATTATTAGAATTGTATTAAATTAAAAGTAACCGTAAGAAAAGAATTCTACAGTTTTGGCATAACTTTAGATTATTCACAAAGTAATTTTTGTGTATGTATTTGCAGTATATGATTTTTTGCGATTATACTATAAATGTAAAATGTTATCAATCTTATTAGTATACGTTTGTAATCAACCAACGTTGGTATTAGTCTTGAAAACAGTATTTTTAAAATTTCGTCTTAAACTAATAAAGTTTAGAAAATTAACTTGTTTTCAAATAACATCACATTAAAGCAAAAAGTTTTTGGAAAACTTTAAAATCATTATAAAAATTGAAAGTTTAAAAAAAATTATATATTTTTTCCGTATGGAAATTTAATATGCCATACGATACTAGAACAATTTAGCTGGCACAACTTTGATGTCTTTGTCAATTTGGCAAATCAATTTTAAAAATTAAAAGCATAGTATTGAAAGATTTGCTTTATAAAAATTTAGGAGTGATATTATTTTAATTTTGTGATTCTTCACACTTGAATTACACAAGACGTCAAGAAGAATGTTAACTCATAATACAGGAAATTGGTCTTCAAGAAATGTTTAAAAATGCATTTAAAATATTTTCAAATTTGCATATGATTTTGCTGAAAATTATAAGCATTATTCAAATAGGCAATAGTTTTAAGAACTTTATTTTTATTTTTAATTTATCAAATAGCCTAGTGGCCAGCCTTTTGGCCACTAGGTCATCAGGCTGTATGCTTTCCAGTATTTTTCAACAAGGCAATGAAAATGATTGTGGGGCATTTGTTAGTATCAGCAGTGGTTATATCTTGTTCAGTTAAGCACAAAATACACACAGAAGAGTCAGCGATATTAAAACAAAGTAAATGGGCACAGATACAGTCATGCAATGCATATCGTGTGAAATTTGTATTCACAATGTAAGTTGCAACTGCTTATATTTTGTAATTAGGAATGTCATATGCAAACACATATGTCTTGTGCAAAAATATAAATTCGGGCAGAGTAGTTTGTGTGAACCTAAATTTGATACCAAATCAAAAATTTCAAGTAGAGAATGTCAGTTGGAAGCACCAATATTGTACACACTGTTTCAAATATTTATTCACTAAAGCAGTTCAAAAATCCATACTCTTATTCAAAGCACACCTAGTTCTCAGATTAATAAATCTGTTGAATTAATTCAGAAGATTAACAGTCAAATAAGACAACTAGATCCTGTGACTCAAAATAATGCTATAGTTAAAACAAACAGAATATTAAATGATTTAAGCACTTTTTTAAACTCTCAGCTAGATGTGCCAGTTTTTAAAACTGCCTTCACCAACATGTCAAACTATGAGCATAAAAAGCCAAACATGTTTTTTCCCCCTACAAAACAGAAACCCAAAACTAGAAGAAATAAAATTTCTAAACCATTGGTGAATGAAATGGATCTTATTAAGGGTGAAATTTTAAATGTTGCAAGTGAAGTTGCTGATTATGTTGCTTCTTCTGAAGACCACACATATTCAAAAAAATAAAGAAGCCAATTTCTAATGAATTAAAGTAAAGAAATTATTAAGATATAATGGGAAAATTGAAAAAATGTTTTAGTTCGTGTATTTATTTGAATTGATGCTTCATTTAATACTGAATATATTTAATAAATTTTGCAAACTTGGGGGGGGGAACAAATGCTGTACTTGTGTGCACTTTTGTGGGAAAATTTTAATTTAGTGTTCAAACAGATTTTTAGTTTTTTTTTTTTTTTAATAAAATCATCTATAGTTATATGATTTTTTTATGTAACAGTAAATCTAATTATGTAAATATTATTTCTATATCTTAAATTTCTTGTTTTTTGTAATTGTGTGCTCATAATAAAAATACTGGATGAATACTTCATTAAGGAAAGAGTTTGATAAAATGTCTTTTCTATTGGAGTATTTTTCCAGACTTATAAAAATCAAAAGCAATTAAATATGAAGTTCTTGTTGATTCTTTCAGTTTAATATTTTCCCTGTACTTTCTTTATATATGTAACGATAAATTTCAAAATTTTGTGCGATTATATTAAACAAGATTTGTTTTAAAAATCTAAAAATATTTCTTAGGTATGTTTTGTAATCTTTTTAAATTTTAAATTATTATGTTGTTAATATACATGTAATACTTATACTCATTTTAAGAAGCAATTGAATTGCACAAAGACTGTAATTTGTATTGTAGATTGTAAAAATAAAAGATGATATTCCTGCATGGTGTGCTAATGCTACTGAATATAAAGATAACCAAATGGCTGAGTAAATTTTCAGTCAGATGCTTCTATCATGTTAACTTATTTTGGTTCTAGTGAAAGTTAAAGTGGTTCAAAAGGAGGTTAACTGAAATACAAATTATTCTTTTACAGAAGTAAAAAAAAAAGTACTGAGTACTGAAAAGTACTCTGTGCTTTTTCAGTGCTAGCGTAGTTAAAGTCATTGAACACTGGTTGTTTCATTAACATTAAAACATAACATTTTTGCATATCCATATTCATGTTATTAACATTCATAGAATTATTATGATAACAATAAACAAAATATTTCTGGTTATTATACAGGCTGGTCACATGAGATTTTTGTGGTTCTTCTCCCCTCTTATGTCATATAAACATGGACCAGTTTTCCTTAGAAAGTTTTCTATAAAAGCAGTTTGTATTGCTTCCCATTAATAACTTAATGTTTATAATCCGGAATGATCTATAATTCAAAGCTAAAAATTGCGCAACATTTAAGAACTTGACTATGCGCATATGAGCAAGCGCAGAATACGTTTTCGCCTGCGCGTTTAATGTATAACGGACGGTGTAGCTAAAATTATCTAATTATCTATTTCAGTTAATGTTAATGATTGCGTTGTTCCTTAATCTTCGAATAGGATCCCGCTTATTTTTTGCAGACTGTAAGAGCAATTTTATAAAAGTAAACTTGAACTTTCGATTATGTCAAATAGAATTTCCGATGCTGGAACTTCCAAAGGATCTACAAAACGAAAGTATGTTTCATGTCCAACAACAAAAGTGAAATTGCTGAAAAAATGGAAAGACATGAAGAATGTGACAGAGAGGTTAGTGAAAACGCAAAATTTCGATTGACCAGTTAGTCGGTATTCTCGGCACAGCAATTAACGGGACTTGAACAGCGGAACTTTTTAACTGAACAAGAAATTATGTCTGTTTATAGAATTAAAGAGAAAGTATTAGTATCACATAAAATGAAGCAACTTAAACAACTTACATTGAAAGAAATGTTTAATAAAGTAAACAAATAAATATTAAGCTTTTTTTTTGTAAATTTTGATACCCTTTAGATCATAATTGTTCTTTATTTCATAAATTACGGTTTCATATTTTTAATTTTAGAATTTCTGCATGCCATCTTACGAGATTTAAACTGATGATCTATAATCCGGAATCG